TTTTTTCATTTTTTGCATAACAAAATTTAATAAAGTTGGGCTAAATTTTACCATCGTACTACTAAACGTTTCTGATTTAGAAGAATCTTAAAGTATATATGGAGCATTTTATTATGTAAAATACTTTCATAAGTACAGGGGATAAAACACATGAAATTTTTAGGGCTGATAAAGCAGACAAAGCATCCATGGTACCAATGCTCTGTTCCTCTGTGCCACAGATATCACATCAGTGAGAATCTGACACATCCAAGATACTGATGCTCACACTGGGATTAAGAATTTCATGCTGATATCTCCTGCACTTAAGAAGTTATGAGGGTCAAAAATATATTTAAAAAAAGAAAACAAAACAAATTTGAACCCCTTCTAACTGAAAATGTTCACTGGATGAAGGTAACAGCATGCATGGCTTCATTAAATATACTGAAGTAATTGTGCTCAGTGTCCTCTGAGTCACTACATGTCATTATCAACAACAGCAAAATACCTGGAAGACCTGAGCAAGGCAAATGATGGCACAACCTAACCTCTTAGCATGGCATGGCCTCAAGAGCTGGCCAAACCGACTGAACACCAACCTTTTTCCTCAGGTTCGCCTTTATTTCCTCCTCTGTTAGCTGCGGCTTCTCCTCTTTTAACTCCTCAGTGCAGGGGTCATTACCCACAGTCTTTGTGCATACCTCTGAGTCCTGTGGTGCCAGTGGTGTCTTCAATGCATTATTGTGGTTCTCTAAAATACTTATGGGATTCCTGAAATATATCATATGTTTTTTGCGACGCCGTCTCCGGTTGCGTCCACCTGTGAGGCTCTGAGAGGATGCCTGCTCGGTATTGATGACTCTCAGGCAGCGAGAAACAGAGGCTGACCCATCTTGGCCTTCGCTCACAGACAGGTCCGGGTTTGGAAATGAGGCACTGTTTGGAAATGAGGCACTGTTTGTAAGAAGGCTGGGATCAGGGAAAGCCGTGTTAGGTGCCACTGCAGAGCCAGGAAAGTGTGGGTAAGGTTGGCTGCTGGCAGAAAGAGAGGGAGGAGTGTTGTACTGATTGTA